GTCATTTTTCATGGCATTTATCATTAAAACAGTTTGAATTACAACATCAAATGTGTTATATGGGGCCTAGCATGATGCTTCAATGGCTAAATACTAACTTTGCAAGCTACAGGATCCCATATAGGCACCAGTTGGTGTCCCGGCTTCTCCACTCCCCACCCAGCTCCCTGCCTATGGCATGGAAAAGCAATTGACAGCCTTGGGGCCCTTCACCCAAGAGGGAGACCAGAAGAAGCTCCTTCCTCCTAGCTTTGGTTTGGCTCAACTCCGATCATTGCTGCCATTCAGGGACTGAACCAGCAGGGAGAAGATATTTCTCTCTGACTCTCTTTTCTGTATTTCTGCTTTGCCTTTCCAGTAATAATAAACAGATTTTTTTTAAAAAAAAAAAGTATGTTGGGGCCCGGCACGGTGGCGCAAGTGGTTAAAGGTCCTCGCCTTGCATGCCCGGGATCCCATATGGGCGCCGGTTCTAATCCCGGCAGCCCCGCTTCCCTTCCAGCTCCCTGCCTGTGGCCTGGGAAAGCAGTCGAGGACGGCCCAAAGCTTTGGGAACCTGCACCCGCGTGGGAGACCCGGAAGAGGCTCCTGGCTTCGGACCGGCATAGTGTCGGCCCGTTGCGCTCACTTGGGGAGTGAATCGTCGGACGGAAGATCTTCCTCTCTGTCTCTCTTTCTCCTCTCTGTATATCCGCCTTTCCAATGAAAAAATAATAAAAATAAATCTTTAAAAAAAAAAAAAAAAAAAAAAAAAAAGTATGTTATATGATTTTCAGTTACAAACTAGAGCTTTGGTGAATAATTTGGGAAGGAGGGGGAAGACGAGAAAAAGAACCAAATCAACACTAATAAGTCAAATTTGAAGAATTCTTGACTTGACCTACTAATAGAATCAGCCCTCCTTGAAACTAACAGGGAAAAAAAATCTCCAGTGAAATTTATGAAACCTAAAGTGCACCTAGCCCTCTCTGTATAACATGGACTATGGCCGCCAGGCCAGGGGTTTCACTGGACCCAGCCTGTTCCAGAGACACCTTTCCCACCACCACCCCACCTATCCCCACCCCTCCCCGGGGCAGGGAACATTGCCAAGCAGTGAGGAGGAAGAGTATAGGCCCCAGGTCCCAGAGCCAGGGTCTGTACTGGACCCCTCGGAAGGCAGCTTGCCCCCGCTAAGAGCTGGGCGGCCCCTCCTGTGCAGGGATGCAGCACCGTCTCCACAGCCTCCCCATATTCTCCTAGTCTGCTCAAGGCAAGGGAGTCCAGTGCTCCTGGTTTGGAATAGACCTTGACCCTCTCCTTCATGCTGGTGTTGGGGCCAAAAAAATGACACCCCAAAGTGAAAGCCTCAAACAAAATCAGTCTCTCTCCCCTCTCCCTCTCACTCATACATAAATGAAACTGCAAAAGCAAAAAAAAAAAAAATCCCAACTTGCCTTGTAGATATGAGACCACCCTCCTAGAAGGGGCCTTGCCCCACTCTCTGGAGAACAGGATACAGAGTCCCCCATAGCATGTGAACACTCAGGCTCGGTTTGTTAGCACTAACTCACCTTCCACTGCCCAGTCAGATTTCCACACAGCTGTCTAAGCTTCATCAAGCCCAAGCATAAAAGCACCGGGTTCAGCCTGGGTCTTTAGGGGTCTTCATTCCGAAGGCCCCATGTGCCATACATATCCCATACTACCCCTGGTTGCAGGGGGTGTCGGTCATGACCCCTGAGGATAGTCAGGAAAGAGATCATCGCTCTTCCCACCCCTACACCGGGAAGAAAGCCAAGCAGGATGGACTCTGCCCCAAGGCTTCAGCATATCACGGCAAGCTGGTTGTGTATAAGTATTTCTGGGGAAAGCCTAGGATACTGCACTCACTCAAGACCTGCATTTCTTTCCCTATGATGAACAATGTCCTATCAAACTCGTACTGCAAAGGAAACAATCTCCACACCGGCAAACAATTTCTAAACCAACAGCTGTGTGCAAGCACGGGGGACCACGGTGAGCTCCATCTGACAGCAACAGTGGCAGGACCACACAACAGCATTCACTGCCAGAGGAATTCCTGTCTTATCGGCCCCACTCACACCCACTGCAGGTGAGCCACACCAGCTGTGGCAAGTAGAAGGGCAGCTCAAGCTGTCAACATCCCCCAAGCTCACTGCACCACCTGCTAAGGCACAGCACCAAACAGTCCACGGGATGCAATGGTATGGAAAGAGCAGGCAGATTCCAGAATGTTCCCATCCCATTCTTGTCCGGATGCTGCCACTTGAATCCTGCAATCCTAGATGCTCTATTTCACCTCCTTACTCAACCTCATCTGCATGGAGGTATCATCACCCTTACTAGAATATTCCGAGCTAACAGATGTGAAATGGAGTCTGTGGATTTGTGGAGCACTATACAAACACTAGCAATTATTTAACTTGAGTGTATATACTCAACCACACGACGTCCATTCAGAAAGAAGTCATTTGGCCTTATTTACATGCAGCCAATCACACTGCAAAACTTAAAGAGATGTGAGATTCTCTATTCTCCATCCAGCTCCCAAAGCCCATTCATCCATAGGCTACTTGAAAATCATAGGGTATATATGTGAAAACACACCAAGGCTAGACGCTTCTTCCAAACCCACAGAACTACAATCTTTGCCAAAAAGCCAAGACTGAGAAGGTTCAATGAGCTGTCTGATGGAGACATGCCGTCAAGTTTGGGGACCACTGAGATCCTTTGGGCATGCCGTGCCAATTCCTATACCCATCAATCACAGGGAGCAAGTCTGCTCCGGTGGTAAGAAGGCATACAAGTCAGCAGACACACGGACACATGCGCAGGTGAAAAACAGCAAGGAGGAAAGGCAAACAGAAAAGAAGGCCACCTCATCATAAGAAGCATAAAGTTCTTCAAGTCCATAGAATTAATTCATGGCTGCAGACGGATTCAGGAAAAGGAATCTCTGTTATGACAAACAGCAAGCGACATGTGGTGACTGCACAGCAGTCCCTGGCATGAGACCATTGTCTCCAGCCTGCAGGAAGTCACTCCTGTGTTTCTAGTTCTGCTTCCGGCCCCCTACCCCAGCCAAAGGTGGGGCCACTGCACTCATCCCAGCAGCTGCCAGGTCTCTCACCCAGGCTGCCACACAGCTGCCCAGGCTACCCAGGATGAGCGGTGCTCTTGGTCCAGATCCCCAGGGAAAAGCAGGAAGAACTGAGCTTAATGTAATGAGGGCCAACACAAAACAAAGTTCATGTCCCTGCAGGCACCATTAACTGCTTCCCTGGGAGCAGAACTACCCAAGGAAACGAGGGGAAGCTCTCCCCAGCCATGGTCCGGCAGGAGATGAGTGTGCCATCCATCAGGTGCTGTCACAGCTGCTTGGAGTCACCCATCTGACCTCATCACGTCCCTGCTTAAGGACCCCAGGGCCCACGGGGTCCTACCTGGCTTGAGCCACACACACATCCTACGGCGTGCCCAGCGCTGTGTGCTCCAACTGTGCCAAACCCACATAACGTGCTGTGTCATTCCTCTCAGCCTACAGCTACCACGGAGCCCTCCTGGCCATGCCACAAACCCATTTCATCGTTCTCAACTCACTTCTCTTTCCTCATCTCCCTCTCCCAGGCAGCTCCCCAGTTCCCATGCCACTCAGGGATCTAGGCCATCTTGGTCCAAAAGTGAGCAAATCCCCTTTCCCCCAAGAGAGTGAGTTCTGCATTTCCACCATCATAACCCCTAGCACACTGCCTGGTACACAGAAGGTGCTAAATAAATGCATGTTGACATCAACATGGGCAAGATTCGGAAATACAAATGCCAGAGGGTTAAGAGACTCTTAGAGCCAACTTCCCAACATGGACAGCTCCTGAGGGTAGAGGTTTGGCCACTACCAGCAAAAAGAGTGACTTAAGGTAGTTAACCTGAGCCTGTTGCCTCACTGGGGGAATCCAGACAGCCACTTTGGGAGAAAGCGCCTACTGTGTGCACATACATGGCAGGCCCTCTGCTGTTGTGCTTGCTAGCAACTCCCCCACCCTCCAACACACACACATACACTCGCTCCAACACACAAATAAGCGTGTTTTCCATGTGCCCTTCTCAGACTGCTTCAGACTCAATTTATGAACATCCTCCATAGTCCAACTTGCAGGAAATTCTCTCCCCGTCCTCCTTGCTCGCTCCCCACCCCCCCACGACCCTGGGTCAAGCCGTCTTCTGTGCACGGGGACCAAGTCTGGGAGAGCAGGGGGGCCTCTGGGTGGAAAGGCAAGAGTGCAGGTGCCGCTTCTGCGGGCTGGCGGATGAATCAGCGGGCAGGACGTGCAAACGCCACTTGGATTCCCATTTCCCCAACTCCCTGCCAGGACCAAGGGAGTCGGTTCCCACAGGCTCCTTAGCGGCTGATTCAACTTGCAGCACAGCTGCGGGGTGTCTCCCACAGACCGGGTGGGCCAGAACGCTGGACTGCAGGGTACTCGCCCGCGACACACGCACGCTCGTGGCGCCCTCCGGCCTCCAGTCCGCCCCGCTCGGGCCTGGCAGCTGCGGGAAGGAGGTCACGGTCACGGCCGCCAGACTTCCCGCACGCACGCGGGCACCTGCACCAGCCAGCCGGGCCGCCGGCCCCAACCGCCGGCGACTTCCTGGCGATGTCCGCGAGTTGTCAGCCTCAGGGAAGCTCGCCAGCAGCTCCCCTTCCGTGGCGGGACCCCATCTACCTCTCACCTCCTCGCCCGGAGCGAGCCGCTCAAGTTGAGAATCCCACTTTGCCCGCGCCCACTACCCACCCCAACGGCCACTTGGGCACGCCACGAATCCGCAGTTGCCCGCGAGCTTGCTACGACCCAGGAACACTGCACCCACGCTGGCTGCCCGGTTCACAGCACCCAGACCCCCGCCTTGGCTTTCCTGGCAGCCTGTAAGCCCCACACGCACACCGCACGCCCTCCGGAGAAGCCACTGCCCCGCGCCCGGCGGGCCGCCAAACCCAGTACCTTGGGGGTCTGCACTTCAGCTCCCGGTGGCGCCTCCAACTTCCTCTTGGTGACCCAGAAGAACAGCAGCACCGTGATCCAGAGCACCCCGAAGAGTGGCAGTGCCAGGCGGCGAGTCAGGCGCCTCATGGTCCCCCTAGCCTCCTCCTCCTCTCAGCCGCGCTGCGTCCCAGGGGCACCCCCAGGCGGTCAGGGGCGGCGGGGCAGGAGTCCCGGAGCGCGCCTCACGCTGGGGGAGCGCAGGCCACGCGAGTCGGTGGAGGGCGGCGGGATCCCGCAAGGCGACCCCCCACCCCACCCTGCGGTCCGCTTTCGGGGAGAAGCGAGCCTGCGTTGAGAGGGGATGGGGACTCGTGTAGCCCCGAAGAGAAGCAAGCAAGGGCTGAGGGGCAGGCAGCCAGCCAGAGAGGAGCCAGGCGAGCGCTGAGATGCTCCACACGCCGCCGCCGAGAGGGAAACTGACTGGAGCAGCGGGGAGGGCGGGATCCGAGGCTGTGCGGGGCACCCCGGGAGATGCACGAGGGAGGAGGGAGCGAGGCGGGAGGGCGGGCCGACAGACAGACCGACTCCCCGGGAGCTGGGAGGGGGCGCTACTGCCGCCCGCCAAGCGAGGCGCCCGCTGCCACTGCCGCTGGGCCGCCGGCGCCGAGCGCGGAGCGCAGCTCCCGGGCCAGCCCGTGTTGGGGCGGGGCGGGGCGGGGCAGGCACGGGTGCACCTGGGATGGCCGCCACCCTCCTGCTGCAAGCCGCGGGCTCCAGCGCAGCTGTGCCTGAGAGGACTTTGGCGCTCATACCCGGCTCCTGCCCTCGCTGGCCTGGCGTTCCCGGAGCCAGGCTGGGATGCTGGGGCACTGACAAGGACTATACTTAGGTCAGGTTTCCGACCCCCACCCCCACCCCGCGGCCACCCAGGGCAAGTGGGGACCAAGGCCAAGTTCCACCAACTCCCAAACTCCCAAGGGCGTTTCTGTGTTTGCCTGCGGGTGCCTGGCAACTTTTTTCCCCCGCTTAATGGAAAAATGAACTAGGCTAAATTTAACTTTAAAGATGTCCTTTAAAAAATTAAGGCGCCATCGTCTCTCTTCAGGGGACCCCCCCCCCCGGAAGCATCTGAGCACAGTGCCTGCAGGAAATGAGGAGTCCAAAGTTGGCCTAACCACATAGGGTTCTTGGAAAGCGACCCTGGGCAGAAGAGATACCAGGTGCAGAGGGGCAGTTTTCTAATGCCCCTGTTTGCAAACAGCTTGGGGAAATGCATGCTCCTCCCACTTGGCAATTAGAAGCACTTGGGTCATTAGACTGTACAGATTTGAATCCGATTCCCATACAGACCTAGCAAGGCTGACTCATGGCACTGTCACTGGACTAGGAGTTCCTCAAGCAGCTCCAACATGCTGTCTGTGTGCATCTTGGGGGAGTGGTTCACCTTCCTTAATCCCCATCTGGTACTGACCACCTCTTCTGACAGCTGGACCGATGTTGCGAAGGCTGAATGCAAGGACCTGCGCTGTGGCAGTGGCCAGCATCCATGTGGGCACCAGTTCCAGTCCCAGCTGCTCCATCTCCAATTCAGCTCTAGTAGATGCAGCCATTTAAGGAGTGAACAGCAGATGGAAGACCTCTGTTTCTCTTGTGTGCTGTAACTGCCCATCAACTAGTTACTTTCTGAACCCACAAAGGGAGCAGAACAAAACTGTCCATCCAGGGGCCTGTGTGCTTTAGTTAGAGGAACATTGGCCTCACCAAGGTCCTGGTGCAGGGAGAATGACACAGCCATGCATGCAGCCACCATCCTCCCCTCTATGCTCACAGAGCTCAATTACAGGGAAATGTCTCCACCTCCCCACAAGTGAGACAGGTTCAAATCACAGCTCTGGGGGTCCTTCTCCAACAAGGTTGAACCCCCAGGACACATACACAGAAATGGAGAAGGCCACCCAGAGCCTTCTGTGCTTGGCACATAGTCCTTCGGCTACAGGCAGTCTGGCCTCACCACCCCAAAGGATTATTTAGTCAGTTGAGAGGAGGCAGTCAGCGAGCTTCCGTCCATTTGTTAACTCCCCAAGTGTTGTTCCTCCTGGATGAGGCCTTGGCCAAAGCCAGGGGGCCAGAAATACAATCCAGGTCTCTGGCATGGGTGGCAGCAGGAAGTCAACCACTTGAACCGTTATTACTGCCTCTCAGGAGCTGCATTAGCAGGAAATTGGAGGTGGGATTGAATCCAGCTCCATAACATTGGATTGGAGGTGGGTATCTTAATCCCCAGGCTACATGTCCTCCCCTCAAAGGGTTCTTGGCCAGGCTGTGGCTAAGAAGTGCTGGTTTGGAAGCAGCGCTGGAATCAAGCAATCTGGACAAGCTGGGAACTGCTGCCAGCCCAACACGAGTCACAGCTGAGCACTCCATCATCACACAACACCCCAGAGGGTGGCCAGTCACTGCCTTTATTTAAAACCCACTCTCTGGAGCATCCCATTGGGCTCCCCAGCCATCACTTTGGAGATTATGATTGTGTGTTGGTGGTTGGGGGAGCAGCAAGATCAACCCACCACTGCAGCAAGCCCAGGTCCCTGGAGCCTCACCTCAGACCTGCAGGCTTGAACCTGCTGGTACCATGTCTGTGGTAGGCTCCACAGGGAACCCCCAGGCAAACCCCTGTCAGCTCCAGGCACCAGCTGCACCAGCGTCCACTGATGAGCACTCTGTGATGCTGCTACTGAGTAACAGATGGCAGACAGTTACACAACACCATCGCCAAGCCGCCAAGATGGTGCAGCACCACACTCACTGCTGGCTGCAGAGGTGCCTCATGCTGACTGCCAGGCTCATGAGCAGATTGGAGCCCTGGGGGATGAAGCCACTCCAGACAAGGTCTTGGAGAAGCAGGGGATTTCTGTTTGGTGAATCACTAGTTTGTCCCCTACCCCATTCCGTAGGAAAGATTCTCTTGGGCTCCCAGAAGCTGTTAAGGAATCCTAGGTATGCCAGGTGCCATTGATTACCTGATTCAGATAAACAGTATGTTATTCTGGGTTTCCAAACAGGAAATGTCATCAGGATTGAAATGGTTTCTGGGTGGAACTTCCGACATCTGGAAACCAGGTGAGTGTCCACGCACAGCCCAGAGCTGGGTAGGTCTCTCTGGGGTCCCAGCTTGACCACAGTACCCACACCATGCCCAGAAGGATACTTAAAACTTTAATAACCAGCTTAAGTAGCACAAAGCACTGTTGACCTCAGGGAGGGATTAGCCATCACTGGCCATTAATCCAAGTTGCTTTTTTTCTCATCTCAGCCTCTATGGGGAAGAAAAGCTCCTAGCAGCAAGATTCAACATGGCAGACAACCAGAAAAAACAAATAAGGGCCATGTTGGTGCCCTAGAAATGGTCCTGCCTTCATGGGCTTGAGCAAATCACTCATTTCTCCAGGCCTCAATTTCTCTTCTTGTCATGAGCCTCTTCCCATAGGGACCCTCCCAGGACCTCACTGAGGTTTCTAACCTTCCTGATCCCTGCACTGAAACACATTTTGTCACTCCCGACATTGGCAAGTTGAGTGTAAGCTGTGTTCTCTTTCTCCTCGCTGTTGAAGACATTAGGGAGCAAATTGGGTATTGGAGCAGATGTGAGTCATTCATGTTCATATAAAAACTACAGAATAAAACCCATTATGGCCCTGGAAAGCTGTGTAGAGTAGCATATGGAACAAATGTGCTCTGGAAACAGGAGGAAGCCCCGAAGTCCGATGCATATGCTGTGGGCTCCTCCATTAGCTTTTTGTCCTCCTTTCCTTCCCACTCAGCTCACAGCAGAGCCTGCCGCCTTTGTTCCTCTCAAAAGAAGATGTCCCAAGTATCTCTTCTGTACCCACTGTGTGGCATCAGGGTGTGTGTGTGTGTAAAGCTTGTCATCTCCATGCTTACTAGACTTGTCACAACCAATGGGATGCCTTTTGTGCCAACCAAACGACATTTCACCTTTGGTAGAAGGACAACCTTCTGTCTGAGCCACAGAGGAAGATGAGCAGGTGAGTTCACAGCACAGCAGCATGCTGGTCCAACCCTGGCAGGCTTTGGCAGCCACCAAACCACAGCAGGAAGGCTTCAAAGAGGCTCGGCTTCCCTCTGCACTCATCACACCCGAATCTTTGCAGTGAGCCCCGCAGTCGGTTCAGCTGCTCGAATTCTCCCATTGTAAATAATACATCAGCCCCCTTTTCCTCTGTTTCTTTCTCTCTTTTCCTTGGCACAGTTGATGTCGTTAAAACTGCACATCTTGGGGCTTCTGTAGGTCTCTTCTACAGTGAGTGATGGAGTAGTTTAGGTAAATGGGATTGGACTGTTATCAACCCTTCCCCCTTCCTGCTACCTTGGGGCATCTTTGTCAAAAGAATAAAGCCAGCCACTTTCCCTTCTCATCTTCCATGAGTACATGGGAAGCTTTATCTAAGAGATCTGACCAGCCCTTTTATGAATCTTTATCCAGAAAACCCATAAAACAACTCCTTTCACCTTCCCACTATCCCCAATCATTGCCCCTTCCCATATATATGTGTATATATGTGAGGAAACTGCATAATTTGCTTCCTTGAAAGGGATTTATATCTTTGCATTTCAAAAGCCTGCTTCTTTCATTATTTTGAAATGCTCCCAAACTTTCTTTGTTCCTCACCCAACTGCCAAACTTGTGACTGCTCTAATGATATGTCTTTGCTGGTTGTAGAAACTGTTTGATCTTCAGTGATGATGTCCTGTGGTGACTTGAGACACGGCTCCCTCTCTCGCACCCCCATAGAAAATGCAGAGTTCTAGCATGAAAGAGTGACCCAATTAGCTCAACAAAAAAGTGGAGAAGATTCTTTAACCTGAATTATCAGAGAGAGGAGAGCACAGGCACCACAAGAAACAGATGGATTCTGAAACGCTGTCACTCCCTGGGTCTCAAATTTCAGACAGCCAAGTGTGACAGCTGCATGCATCCTGACAATCGAAGTCGGTGCTTCTGGGAGGCTTCCACTTACAGCCGTGAGGGAGAGGCAGAACGGGGACAGTGAGCTCAAATCCTAGGAGGGGCAGAACGGTGCCTCACCAGTCTGGCTGTAACTTTAACAATAAACAGAGCCAGGCAT